AGATTCTGACTCACCATCAGGCTTTCTGAGTTCCTCTTCTTGCTGGTGGCCTCTGGGATCCCGCCGGCGCAGGGCGGTTCACTCCCTTCCCGCCGACATGTTTCTTGAAGTTTACTTTGGAATGAATAAATGATACTTAATATGAAAAGCAGATGATTTTCAAGGACTTTTAATATATTTACTCTTTGTTTTAAAGATGATCTCAAGCTTTTTAGATCAGCAAGCCATCCTGTTTGTGGACACTGCTGATCGCCTGGCCTCGTTAGCTAGAGATGCTCTGGTCCACGCGCGCCTGCCTAGTTTTGCCATCCCGTATGCCATTGATGTACTGACTACTGGGTCTTATCCACGGCTGCCAACCTGTATTAGGGTAAGCGCTTTGCACCTGTGTTCCTAAAAGTTGAAGGCTTTGGCATTGTATTCTATTGTATCATTAAGTATAGCAAAACAAAACAAACCACTTAGTTTTAAGACAAATAGCTGATGTAGTTTGCTTTTCTCTCTAGTCAAGGTAGTTTGCTTTTTTCTGTACAACTGAAATTGTGGGTTTTTTGAAATAAATTGGAACCAGAATGTGAGTAGGTATCAAAATGGGTCAATCTTTTTTTTCCAGGGGTGAGTAGATGTGCAAACATAACTTAATTTCTGTTTTAGATATGATAATACTATGCACTAGTTGCGTTTTAGAAGTGTTTTAAAAATTTATTTTTGCAACAGTTTCCTGACTTGGTGCTGTTGTATTTTACAATTTTAAGAAGTGGTAGATGTTATCTAGTAACATTCAGTTGGTTTCATATATGGAGCATGAAGCAGATCATGTTGTATTATGGTCTTAGCTCGGTGAAATCATTGGTGCTCTTTTTTTTTTGTCTTTTTCCGTGTCCAGCAACGGATTGCAACCCTCAGTGTTGCCCCCGTACCGGACCGGGGACCGGCAACGGGATCACAACCCTCGGTGTTGCTCCCGCGCCTCGCTCAGCCAGTGAGCGGGAACCGGTCTGTATGTGGGATCCGAACCCTCGGGCGGGAGCGCCGCCGCGCTTCCCAAGCGGCGCACTATCCAGTGCGCCACCGGGCCGGCCCCATTGGTGCTCTTAATGCATGATAGTTATGGTCACTGTTACTGGATGTAGACTGCCGAAATCTGTGTTGAGATTCTCTTGGGTAAAGTAAGAACACGTTGTATAAAGACAGGCACAGGTAAAAAATTATGCTTCTTTGTACCTTGTTGAAAAATCACTTAAATTTTTTTGTAGGATAAAATTATTCCTCCGGACCCAATTACCAAAATTGAGAAACAAGCCACACTTCTTCAGCTGAATCAGATTCTTAGACATCGGCTTGTAACCACAGATCTTCCTCCTCAGTTAGCAAACCTTACAGTTGGTATGTATCTGAAATTTATTTTTTTAAGAGTTGACTTGTTAGAGCATTTTCTTTTCTTTTTTTTTGGCAGCCGGCCAGAATGGGGATCTGAACCTTTGACCTTAGTGTTATAACAGCACTCTCTGACCACCTGAGCTAACCAGCCAGCCCATTGTTAGAATATTTTCTTAAACAGCTTTTTGGGTTTTATTCAAAGAAATATTACGAAGTTTTGGCCTACAATTTTGGTGGTTGTTGAATCTATGACTTGTCAGCCATATCATTTCTCTTTAGTACCTAGAGCTAGTATTTGAAGCTGGGGAGTGGGTGAGATCACCTGGGGTGGGAGGAGAGAAGAGGTCTCAGAGCTAAGCCTCAAGAAAATATTGTTGACTTAGTTAGAAGAGTTGCTTTGGTTTCTTGATGACTTGGAAGCTGGCCAAACCACTGAATGGTTTGAACATGTAGGAAAGAATTTTCAATCTATTTAAAATTTCTTATAAGCAAGACTGAAAGTTCTAGGTTAGCTTATTTTTTAGCAATGTACACTTCTTCTTCTTCTTCCAAAAGCAAATGGCCGAGTGAAGTTTCGAGTTGAAGGAGAATTTGAAGCTACCTTGACTGTGATGGGAGATGACCCAGATGTTCCGTGGCGTCTTCTTAAGCTGGAAATTCTAGTTGAGGATAAGGAAACAGGAGGTAAAGGATAAATACTGATATAAGTCATAAATATTGATTTAGGTGTTTGGTATTTTTATATTATTGAAATATTCCTACAGAATAATAAATATGTATAGCAGTTTATCCTGTAATTTGAAGCAAATTTCATGATAATCATAACTACCTACTGACCAAAGAAATTTTAGTGTTTCTCAGAGCATAATGTTCTCTAATTCCATATATAATTTTATTTCTTTTTTTTTTTTTAAATTAATTGTTAGTGTATGCTTCCTTAGTTGGTGCTATTACAGGACCTGTACACCTTTTTGATTGACTACCTTTTTTTCTCCTGCCAATGGAAGATGGGCGAGCTTTGGTTCATAGTATGCAAATCAACTTTATCCATCAGCTGGTGCAGTCCAGACTCTTTGCTGATGAGAAACCTCTTCAGGACATGTACAACTGTCTGCGTATCCTTCTAAAATTTGAGACATGTATTTGTAAGGATTTTGTGTCTCCTTTGTCTACCCCCGTTTTCCATTTGTCTTTAGTCCTGAACTGTAGAAGCCTAAACCTCCCACCCCCCCAACCCCCCCTATTTGGGTAGAAACAGGGCTAGGGAACTGGCCATTGGGTAGAAACAGGGCTAGGGAACTGGCCAGTGTGAAGAATAGTTATACATCTATAATAAACCAAATTTTAAGTTTTACCATTGACTTTGCAGGTAAAAACAAAAAAGTGATTAATTAAAAATAGTACTATTTGGGGGAAAGTTGCTATTTGGTCAATTTATATTCTCTAAAGTGTGATGAATTAAGGGACAACCTGGAATGGTTTGTTTATATTGCCTCCAAATTAAATATAAAACCTTTTTCTAAAATTATGACACAAAGGGGCCGGCCCGGTGGCGCACTGGATAGTGCGCCGCTTGGGAAGCGCGGCAGCGCTCCCGTCCG